CGCAGGATGTACACCTGGCACACTCGGCTAGAGCAACGAAGGAATAATGCGACCTCGCCCGTCTCGACGGTTCGCGGGGTTATTTTGCGTCGTTCCCGAGTTGTCCCTTGATTATGTTTTGTTTACTCCTGTGTGACATGGCCGGGAGGACTCCCGCGCTTTACAAAAAAGCGGACGCCGATGCGCTCGACAGCGTGATTGGAGTTGACCCCAATAAAATAAACCTGTTATTTGAAATTAACACAGGCATCTTTGTTTTTTTTTTGTATTTTTTTCTACTGGCTCAAATGACAAAAAAATAAAATAAAATAACTTTTGTGGCATAAACCTCATCTGAGGGGGAACCCATAGAAAAACAATTCATATATATATATATTTTTAAGGGTGAGGCATAATATCTCTGAAGGACGTCTCCCCTGTTGTCCGACCGAATAAGTCAGACATCTAGGGGGGTCACAGACGTTCGCCTTGGTAAGCTCGACTTTTCAACTATATATAGCTTTCTCAACCTTTCTGTATCTATTTTTTTTATTTTTTTATTCTTATGTCAACCGTGTGTAGCACACCGAACATGTTCAAAGCTTTTCCGAACGTCCGAACATGTTCAGGTGTTCGGTCGAACGCCACCCGAACGTGTTCGACCGAACATATTAAAAAATAAATAAAAAATAAAAATAACTTTGAGTTTTAACTCGAGTTAGGCCACGAATTGGAACATAAGTCCAAGGAAAATGTTGTTCGTATTATTATTTTACATCACATATATTGGTTTCATATTTTTTGGAAAACGTTTTTTTTATAATAATATTTTTATGTTCGCGTTTAGAGAGTTTCGGTTCCCGTTCATGTTCGGTCCCGAACGTTTGGGTTCGGTCACCGAAGTCGAACACGATGCTACATAGTGTCAACCTTTTTATTATAAAAAATCTTTATTCAATTTATATATTATTCTATATATTTAATTATATTTACAAATAAACTTTGATTCCAAAAAAGAATATATCACATTCATATGTAGGTTGTTTTTCCAGGCGCTCGGACACCCAACTTTTGCCAAGGTGCCCGGCTGGGCATGACCCCCGGGCAAGGCTCCAGTCAACCCCAACGTAAAAAAAATAATAAAATAAAACAAAAATAAAATTCAGAAAATTCCAGAAAACAATTATGTTGTGTAGAATCACAGTACAAACAACTTTTGGCTGGGGGTCATATCAGAATTCCGCACCGAATCCGAGATAAAAAAACATTAACAAAATCATACTAAAGGAACTCCCTTTATCCCCTCTTAGCCCCTTTAAAAACAATGTATACCCCCCTTTCGCCCCCTTGACAACCAACTCTCAAAAAATGCAATGAGCCCGGATTTGGGGTCCTTTGGGAAAGCGCAAAAAGACAAAAGAAAAACAATTTTTATTAGTATTTTTTTTTTGCACACCCGGGTACCCCGGCCATCAACCCCCCCCCGTGCGTCATGCCCGAGTGCCCGGCCGTGCAGGCCCGACCGGGCATGAAAAACTTCCTAGATTTATATACTATTTATTGAAGCATTGATATTTATACATATTTATATGACGGAGGATTATCTATTCTGTATCTAAGTTCATTTAATAATGTTTCAAATTTTGTAACCCTTTGTAATTCAAAATTGAGTAATCATTTCTTGGGATCAGAGCAAAACTCTGATTTACAAATTCAGATTAGGAATCTTGCTCAGAAAATACGAATTTAAGATTAAGAATCCTATTCAAAGAATACGAATTTATCTTGCTCAAAATAGAAAATACGAATGTCAGATTAAGAATCAATTATATCCAAAAAACACCTAAGATCTCATGAATCAGATTTTAAACAAATCACAATCATAAAAACGAAATCGTTTTAAAACAACCTCTGAAAAAATTCAGAAAAAACAGCCACAACTCAGGAAAAGTTAGGGGAAAAATCATGACGAATCAGAAAATTCAAATCAAGAATCATGAATTGAAATCATCAACAAAAAGTCAACCTCAGGATGAAAAGCTTGGTTATCAGAACATTATTAGTAGATTTCGAATTATAAGACGGCCAAGCCACGCGTGGGCTGAATCCTAATCCAATAAAAAGCAGCCTCCCATCCCTTCTTCCTCAACCAAGCAACTTACCTCACACCCCTCAAACCCTACCCCTGCGTCTTTGGGGAAGGAAAAACTCCCTTCCTCCCACTACTAGCATCTGGGCTCAAAGCAAAGCAAGCACCAAAGACATGAACAGCCATCTTCAATCCCCGGAAGGAAATCGAAAACAATGTGGCACCCCATCGCCAAACCCGTTGACGAGTCGCCACAGGGGTTTCAAAACCACCTAAACTATACCCATACCATACTGTTGAGGAAGACGGAAGGATTTTCAAAAAACGAGGACGACAATTCCTAACCTAGTCCAGACTACAGCGACTCCACACCCCCCAGCCCATCTGCCCCACCCTCCTCCCCCCTACCTTACTACCTGTGGTTGTTCCCCGTCATTGGCCAACACACCCCATCTCCTACCGCGCGCCACCATATCCCACCGTCCACCTCGTCGCCAAGTCTCCCGTACGTACCCTTCTCTCGTCTCACATCCTTGCATCTTCGCCCACCGCGTCGCCTGGTTCTCCGGTAGATCCCGCGTCGCGCCGCTTCGTCTCCGAAATTGCTCCAGCAGGGGCGCAGCGCTCTCGGTCACCGGTGCTTTCACTATTGCACTGACGTGCAGCAGCCCAGTGGTCAAGGCACCCGAGGACGGTAAGCCCACGGCAAGTCGATGGCCGACGGAACGTATTCTGCGGCTTTCTTTTTTTTTCCAATTTGGACCATTTCTCTATTTATGTGTGTCATCCTTGCGCAGGGGCCATAATAATCTTCTCTGTATCGTTCCAATTTTAATGGATGTCCAGGAGGACTTCTGCGGCTTTCTGCCGACTATCTCGAGGGAGCAAACACCTGCGGTGTATGTACCAAATGACGTCAATGGCGGGAATCAGTGGAAGGTGATTCAGGCATTTCTTAAAGTCCTTGGGCGTCGCCGCACGGGTGCGAAACAAAAAACGAAACGAGTGCATCTTCCTGCAGAAAATGGCCAGGTTCATCGGTTTGCTATAAATAGTAACTACTGTATTTTGCCACCTTTCCTGGGGAGATGCACTCGTTTCGTTTTTGTTTCGTGTGCCGGCGAGACCCCTTGTCTGGTATGCACTGCACTAGGGACTCCATGGCACGGACCCGTCAGACCTGGTCTACACTGCGCAGAGTGCACAATTTGGCGGTGGTCCTCCCTGGAGAGGTTGAAAATGATGCCAAGCGTGAGTGGGAGGTGGTTGTAGCACCACCATCTCAACATCGCGCGCAGGCATAGCGAGACAGCCGGCTTTTGGACCATGGAGTAATGGACCACTTCTGTCTCTCTTTATTTATTTAATTTTTTTTCCTAAGGATCAGATTTATGCTGATCACAACAGATACTGCACTTTGCCAGTAGCTGCGCCTCCCTTTCTCATCGTCCCCCACCCGTCATTGAGTAGCAGCAGAGGTGCAGCTACTGGCAAAATGCTCGGTTGCGTTAGCCGGACCCCCACCGGCGCCCCCACCCCATCTCTGACTACTGCTGTTGGGGCGGGGGGCAACATGATTTACCTCTTTTGCGAGGCCCTATGCTTGCAGGGGTCCCCTCTATATAGTCTTAGGAGTAGTGGT